CAGGAAAGCCTGATTTGTAGTATGAGTAGTGTGTAAGATGCTTTAACGTTATTTCAGATTCTCATACAGGGGGAAGCGAAACCTTTGGGCAGACAACTGTATGATCAAGTCCTCTGAGTTAAGAGATGTTAAGCCTCTAGTAGGTGGGTGCTCCTAACAGAAGAAGGAAGTAATCAAGAATCCAGGAGTGGGAGATAAAGAGGAGAGGAAAATGCTTTTGTTGTCTGAGATGTCTACAGCAAAGCAGCCAGGAGGACTTGAATCTACTAGGTCCTCATCAAGACCCATCCTGTGGCTGTGGTGACAGAGGACCTAGGGAATGTGGAGGTGTGTTCTTTTTTACCTTCAGTGGGAATGGCTGTACAAGATGGAATGTTTCTTGTCTGCCAGGTGAAGAAGTTGGGATGGAATTTCTTATTTTCTGTGAGGTAGAGTCCCATCTGTCAGGGAGGACCATTGGTCTTACTCTCTTAGACAACCTGTCACCATTGTCAGGATCAGAACGGGACCGAGGAAAGATCTGAGCCATTTCAATTGCTGCTGGGAACTCTGGCTAATAAAGAAGCTGGCTAAAACTGGTGTATCTTATAAAGAAAAGGTGCCAGGAACAATGTACCTATAGAGGCAGAAGAATCTGCCTCTGTAATAGGCATTGCTACAGGAGTTAAGCATTGTTAGAACACTGTTAAATATTGTTAAATAAATGTTATTGGTAATGGGCCTTTGTTGCCACCCCTTTCAATGGCATGTTGAGAACTAGGGTAGGTTTGATACCTTAACCCTTAAGCTTGCAACACCTTGCCTTGGTATCCTGGCTGCCTTTTAGCACAGGATTATCACCCAAGCAGCCAGCTCTCTTCCTAGCCACCCGCCATCCTGAACACTCCTCTGGAGCCTTTAGGAAGCTTTACTGCAAGCACTACTGCTTCTTGTCTCTGGGATGGAAGAAACAATCCAGCTACTGAAACACATCTCCAACTCCTAACCTCACAGTCTCAGACATGAATGTTTCAAATAGCAAGCACTGGATCTCTTGCCAGGACATGTCTTGGTAAACTCTAGGTAACCTTGAAGCCTTCTCCACCCACTGCCAGATGGAGACTAGTTTCCCTAGTGATCCATTAGGCCTGTGATTGGTACCCACCATGATTGTGTATGAAGGAGGAACTGCCAGGATTGGTTCATACACTATTACCACATTTTTTTTTCCTGGCTATATCAATCATGTTATTTGGCTCACTTTATTATAACATTAACCTTTAGTGAAGTCTTCTCAAGCAAGGTAGTGACGGGCCTTGTGTGGGGCTGTGGAGGAGAACCTGAGTGTTGTCAAGCTTCAAGGGATACCCCGATCTGAGCAACTATAGGCCTCGGCCCAGTAGCACTTATCACTGTAGGGCTAAGGAACACTGTGTCCAAGGCCTATAAGGAGAGCTTTAACCTGGAAAGCCCTACCTAACTGTTGTGGGATGCATGCTGTCTTCCACTGTCACTAAAGGCTGTGGGAAACTGAGGATTACAAGAGAAAATGCCTGAGGACACAAATGTTAAAAGGCTGAAGTTATACCAAGAGCCTCCAACTTGAGTGTTCGAGCAGTAAGTCTCTGCATGGTAAAGGGTTTGAAACTCTAATACTCTGGGTTTGTTGGCCCAGACCCTAGGCCCCAGGCACTCACTCAGGCTTGCCAACACAGGAGAAGCTTCCCCTACTCACTATTCCTATCAGGGAACAATTAAAAGGTTCCTGACCAGCTGATGGATAACACCTCCTATATTCCAGACACTGCTTGGTCTTAGAATGCAAAACAATACATCTATGGTCTGCCAGGGGAAACTTCTCAATAAAGATGCTAAAGAAAAGTGCTTGGTATCCTGACTTGGAGCTGGTTCAGGTTACTTAAGGCACTAAATTGGACCAGCTTTTATAAGCTCAGGCACAGTAGTAGAGAGGATCTCAGGAGGAAGGTTTTACTGCTCAAGGTAAGAGGGCTGGAGAAATTCTCCCTTGACTTAGCCTACAGAAGAGTGGTTTTTGAGTAAGACCTAAGCCAGGTATCCCTCACCTAGGGAGTCCCCTCGGGCCAATTTCTTATGAACAGAGCTAGGAGCGAAAGGAACCTGAGAGTGTTTGGAGTCTCTTAGGAAGGGCTTCATTTTCTAAAGCGCTCCTCAAAGGGGTTGAACTTCAACCTGAGAGAAACAAAAAACAAAACAAAACAAAAACAAACAACAACAAAACCGAGAAGCAAAAGCAAAAGCAAAACAAAACAACCCCCATCACCACCACCACCAAAAAATTAAGGCATTAAGGAAATGGGAGAGTCCTCCCGGAGTAATCTCCAGGCTTTCTCCCTTTGCCTGATGTGATTACAAGGAAAGACTTGTTCGTTTTATTTATTTTGAATCCGTAAAGATTTTTTTTCCTCTTTTTCCCCTTTCTCCCTCCCAGCCACTCCGGCTTGGGTTTCCATATGACTCATAATTCCTTCTGAAAGTGGAGTCGAATTCATAAAAGTGGTGGAAATGGGGGGGGGGGTGCGGGAGAGGCTGGGAGCTCCAGGGAGTCTTCACTACCTACACTGTCACTCAGCTCCCGGCGCGAGTGGCAGTCGGGGGTGGGGAAATCCAGCCTGCGCGGATGGCGGATACTATTAAAGCCCCAGCGGCGCGCAGCCGGACCCGGTGACCCGCGGCGGGTGCGGGAGGGTCTGCGGCTGGCGGGCGGCGCTGCAGCAGCCTGGGCACAGCCGCCGCCCGCGGGCGCGAGTGTGCGCGGGTGTGGGAAGGCCGGCGTGCGGGCCGCGAGGGGTGTGCGCGCGTGAGTCGGAGCGGGGCTCGCCCCTCGCCGGCGCCTGCCGCTCCACGGCTGCCGATCCCTCTCCAGCGGTCCTCCCCCCGGCCGTCTTCGGGCCCCTCGGTTCCCTACGGCCGTCAGTCCGGGCGGGGGAGGGAGAAAGTGAGACTCGGTGTCATCACCATCCATTGTCAGAACGGGAGGAAATTGGAATCCAGCAGCGGCGAGCAGCAGCTGGGCGGTCACATCTGGGAATGCAAAGCCGACCTCCCCCTCCTCCTCCTCCTCCACCTCCTCCTCCTCTCTCACCCGGGATCACTTCCGAAACCACTTCGCCTTCAGCCCCTGCCTCGGCCAGAGGTTTCATTTTTAACTGAATATTTACGAAAGCTGGAAGCGTGCGAGGGGGGTGGGGTGGGGTGGAAATAGCGGCTGCTTCTTTTCCAGGGATTTATTTAATGGGGATGTGTTCAAGGCAAGAGAGAATTCAGAAGGATATCGACGTCGTGATCCAGAAGTCCAGAGCCGAGAAAGACTGCCTGTTTGCAGGTGAGTTCTTGCCTCTCGGATCCTGGGACCTGGAGCCAACCTCCCCTCCGGCCACCCCGGATTGCCCAGATTTCTGACCGCGACGCGTGTAGTGTAGCTGGGGGTGTGGGGCGGCAAGTCCCCGTTCCGGGTGAATTTGGAAACAGCTGCAGCGGCTTGAGCTGGAGCCCCAAGGGGAGGGGGACACGAGCCTACTCCCGCCCCCGCCCCCCAAAAAAACACACCAGGCCAGGGCAGTCTCCGGCTCCGGGGGCAGGACCCGCGCGATCAGAGCGGAGGGGCCGGGCGCTGGATTCCAGCCATCGGCGGTGCCCGGAGCATCCGAGCCTTGCCTCCGGGCTCCGGCAGCCGCGGCCGAGCGGGGCGGGCTAGAGTCGGCGGCTTTGCGCCATCGGCCGAGCGGCGGCGGCCGGGAAGGGACCGGCTGCGCTGCGCTGCGCCGCGCTGCTCCCGCCAGGCGCCGAGGCCCCGGGAGAAGGTAGCGCAGGGCCGAGCTCCCGCCCCCTCGGTTGCACCCGCTCCTCGGCGAGCGCGCAGGACACCGCCCCGGGGAAGGGATGGATTCCCGGGGTTCCCGAGCTCCGCAGGCCCAGCCCGGGGGTCGCTTTGCGTCCATCTTTGCTCCCCCCGCTCCCAAGGCCGAGGGCAGTTCGGGCTTCGCAGCCCGAAGCCTGGCAGGGGCTGCTTCCGGCTGCTTGGCTGGGAAATTCCCGCTGTTGCCATGGCACCCGGCACTTGTTGCGGGGGGCGGCCTCCCGCTGCACCCCGCGGGGTGCTCCGCATCCCCTCCCGCACCGCCCTGCTGGCCGCCCCTAGCTCTCCAGCCTTTGCTTCCCTCCCCATCGGGCCTCTTTGGCTCACATGAAATAGCAGGTTCAAGACAGAATTGGGGTTAAAAACAACCCATGGGGTGGCTTATAACGCGACTTTCCGTTTCAGATTTCAGATACTCAGACTCCACCTTTACTTTCACCTACGTTGGCGGCCCCAAAAGGTATTTATGTGTATAGAGTTGCTTCATTTCCTGTTCACACGCTTGTGTTTCCTTTGTTCCTAGCGTCTACCCTGTTTGGATATTTTGCTTGTTTGTTTAAATCTTGGGGCTGCTATCTAGCTGCATCCCTAGCCCGATGTCTCCCAATTTGAGATAGCAGAGGGAAAATAAATATGTTTGAAGTTTTTTTCTTTCCTCTAAAACTACGCTACAGAGGATGAGCAGAACTCCTTTTACTAAGAAACTGTTCTGCTTCGGTAGTAGATTGTTCTTTAGGCGTTCCGGATTTGACAGAGGCCAGTCGGTGCAAAATTGATATATTGAGCATGGAGTGAAATACGTGAAAGACATAAAATGTCATAAAATAGTTTGATCGTCAGTGGTTATTTTGCCAGTGTGTGTGCTTCCACTTTCCTGAAGGTTCACATAAACATGTGGTCTTCCAGTTCCCAAGACTGTTTTCTTTTTTTTCCTCTGCAAAGGAGTGGTTATTTTGGTTTTCACATTTAGTTGTAGAAAAGCTTTTGGAGAGTTATGTGCAACTGGAATGGATGGCTTTTTCCTTGGGGGAAGAATGAGAAATGCATATCTTAGTAGGAAATTGTCAGGGCTTTGATGCAGCAAAAAGCCAATTCTGAATTGAGGAAGAAGAATTTGCATCAAAAGTTTCTACATAAACAAACCTTGTTCGCTTCATTTTTGTGGTTTGGGTTTATCTTTTTTAGAGACAACTGGATTAAAAGAGCTGTGGCTACTGACTTAGTCTGTGGAGACACTCCTCAGCCTAGGTGATGTTGGCATTCAAAATAGCTTGACCACATCCCAAAATATCTCAGCTAATGGAAACATTTATGAATATAGAAATTGCAAAGCACCTCTGGTCTGTTAAATATTTTTTAAAAGCGCGATACTAATGTGTACCTTTAAAATACTTAGAATCTATATTGCTTCATTTATCTCAAAATAAACTTTTAGAATGGTTATCCTGTACCCAAATAAAGTCACTCTAAGTCCCAGGATTGGCCTAACATTGATTGACTAGTTGAGGAATGTATCAGTGAATTATGAAGCTTCATTGCCTTTTGGGGAGAGAATAAATTACGCTATTTCCTAATTTCTGAGAGCACTATCATTTTTGTAATTATAGATCAAATTAAATTAGAGGATGTTTGATTAAATTAATGCTGCTGTACACTTAATATCCAAAGGACATTACTGTATGACTGATGTCCTCTTGGATGACTGTAAGGGCTAAAACATTCTTTGTGTCAATTGAAATTCCCAAGCAATCAGGTGGAGCCCATTGTCACCTTCCTTTAGTGGATCCTGGGGACAGGAATACTCTAAGTGGGCTTTTCCTTCCTTCCTTCTTTCTTTCTCTCCTTCCTTCCTTCCTTCCTTCCTTCCTTCCTTCCTTCCTTCCTTCCTTTCTAGAATTTTTTGGATATTTTATTTATTTACATTTCAAGTGTTATCCCCTTTCCCTGTTTCCCCTCTGTAAACCCCTATCACATCCTCCCCTCCCCTGCTTCTATGATAGTGCTCCTGCATCCACCCACCCACTCCTGCCTCACAGCCCTAGCATTCCTCTACACAGGGGCATCTTCTATGAGGTAGGGGTGTGTGTGTCTTTCCTCTGTAGCCCAGCCTGGCCTAGAACTCAAGGTAGTCCTCCTGCCTCAATCTTCCAGATGCTCTGATTTCTGGTAAGACACTTGTGGTCTCAGTGTTTATACCAGGGTGGGCACACTATGACTTTAATCTCTTACGTCTGTTAGATACTACAGTTAAGATATTTTATTAGCAATTCCTGAGCTAGAGTTTGGGAGCTGGAGGTGGAGAAGTTCTGAATGTCTCTGGGATCATGTCTAAGGTGTTGGGATGAATAATGAACTAATTAGGATAACATCAGTTTTCACTGTAGGAACAAGTACCATGACTACTTTTAAAGTGAGAAATGTTTCCTTTGCTATGTCATTCTATTACGAGGTAATGTTTTTCTGTCGTGCCTATTTAAATAGCTGGGCCTTGTGTGTATAATATGGAAAGAAATTACTAGAGCTCAGTGATTGCCTTGTTTTCTCCGAGGCTTGTTCCACAGCGCAACAAATAGAAAGTTGTTTAATACAGGACAGTAGGAAATCCATTTATATTTGTCTTGTGGGGCAGAGATTTGCTTAAAAATATATTGCTTCCATTATCTATATCGGAGACACACAGTCATCATCCACTTCCCAACCCGACATAGAGATCAGGCATTTAAAATTAAAATGTTCTTGCTGGATTTTGATTTATTTATGTATTTTTAAAAATAGATTTTGATACAGCCCCACTGTAATTCAGGCTGGTCTGGGATTCACTGTAAAGATCACTCTGGCTTTGGACTTTGGGTTTGTCCTGCCTGTGCCTCCTGAGTGTTGGAGTTACAGACGTGACCAATGACACCAACTCTGTCTCAATTTAATGTACTTACCAACTTATGGTATTAGATTAATGTTGTCATAGCAGATAAACTAGATGTCACCATTGAAGGAAGTCTTCTACAGAGAGTAGACCGTGAATTGATTTTAGCTGCTATTTCATTTAAACCATTAGAAATAATTTTCAATTCAAGTTGTAGATAAAATTTAACATACCATTTAATATCTGACACTTTCTAAGAATGACTACATGCCCCAAACATTATAAAAGGTGATCATTCATATTACTATTAAAAGAAAGAATACTGAACTTTCAGGTTTGCTTTTTTAAAACTTTAGTGTGTCTGTTGATAAGTGGAAATTCAGAAAGATGATTTATATGGTTCCGTCTGAATATTGGCCTTATATATAGTGGCAAAGTACTGGTTAGTATAGGTATCCTGCCTTGGTGGACCGAGCTGAGGGATGAGGACAAGAAGATGCTTAGATCGAAGCAGGGAAATTACATGGAGTTCCTCTCCTCACTGTTGGGTGTGTTGAGGCTCGGAAACAGTTCAACACGCATGCATGGCGAGGTCCCATTTATGCAGTTAGCTGAGGAGAACCAAGGTATGAATCTCTGTTCTGTCACAGTGCTGAGGCCTGCGCTGATTCCTGTAATAGGCTGCTTAACCTTCCTGAGGGTGCAAACAGGTGCACATAAACAGATACATCAGATAACAGAGCTGTATAGACACTAGTAATGTTTAATGTCTGATGGTTGGGAAAAAGTGTTAAATATTGTGACCATTGCTTTTCCTGGCTTCTGCCTCTGCTTAGCATTTGTTCAATACATAATACTGTTTAACTTCCGCGCTCTAGCACTGGTCTTTTAACAGCCCCCGTTCCCACCCCGAATCCCAGTACTGCTTGATTTCTGACGTTTGCTATGAACAGACCTCAACCTGCCACAATTTAGAGTTCATGCAAAAAGTCATTTTTTTTCTCTCTTACGCTTTGCCATGCTTCCGACATTTTGGCATTTGCTTTTTCCTATACGAAGTAGCAGGACATTCCTTAAAACCTCAAAGGACAGGAGCTCCAATTTTGCATCTTGCCTGTGGTCAGACATGGAGTTAGTGCCAGAAGAAACAGAAGGGATAGAATGTGCAGTACCAGATATCGAGGGGATAGGAAAGCTGACTAAGTCTTTGGGGCCAGAGGTTATTAAAGTTTAGGGCAGAACCAAGAATGCAGTTGCTCCAACTGCCTGACTGCAGATTTCTCTGGGATTCCCTGAGCTTTTATACATGGAAAGATTGTGACAAATAAAACATATGTTTTAAAAACTTTAAAAACTTCTGGTTTTTAGAAGTTTAGAATGGGCTGGTGAAATGTCGAAGATGGTAAAGGCACCCGTCACCAAACCTGATGACCTGACTTCAGTCCCTGCACCCACCAGTCCCCTGAAAGTGTCCTTCGGTCTAGACCCGTGTCCCATGGCTTGTATCTTAGCAGGTATGTGTGTACATGTATGTGAGTGGATGTGTTCACAGGTGCAGAAAAGATAAGTTAAAATGTTTAGACAGTAAGACATGCAAAAAAGGAAGAAAAACACCACGGAGTTCCTCTGACTTCTGTTAATATGTTAGTTTATGCTCTTAGATTTTTTTTCCAAATCTACATATAAAACGCACACATCCAAAGACTGGATTATATTCTTCTGGGAGATCACATTTCTTTTGTGCGTAGTTTGAGGGACTGAACATAGCATCTCCATGCTCTACAAGCATCCCACCACTAGTCTGCATCCCTCCCCTTCTTTTTGCTCTCTGTATTAGTGAGTAAAGAATATATTCACTACACAGGCTAGACTTGAACTCATTCTACAGCCCCAACTAGTCTGACCCTTTTGATATTCCTGCCTCGGCTTCCAGAGGAGCTGGCACCATAACCTTGGGTCACTGGTGCTGGCTGAGAGCTGACAGTTGAGAGCATCATATTAATGCTTTAGAAAGGATATAAATATAATGACTTGTTCGTTAAATGGAGGTATCCCCAGTCAAAAAGCATGACTGCATCTCAAGGATTATAATAATATTTAAACTGAGTATTCCGTATTCCTAAAATATCGATACCTGGGAGTCTGAAGTAGGAGAATTATGAGTTCCAGGCCAGTCTGGCATATATATATTAAAACCCCACCTTTAAAAAAGTATGTAGAATTTATATCAGAAATTACGAAATTTGAAGTGTGGTATTTAGCAGATGTTGTGTGTTGGCCTATCCACGTGTAGCCTCAGTTTATGGCTAATCCTCCTTCATGACGTCATGAGTGGATTGACATCTTTTGGAGCATAATTCCTTCTCTAGGGAAATGTTTTGGAGCATTCCATCATAGTAGTAGTGCTCCTTGAAGCATTTGCTACCTCCTGTGCCTGGGTCCTTCTGTCCATACTCTGTCCTCTGTACTTATACCTTCAAATCCCTAGGCATTGTGGAGATGCTTGCTAAGACAAGTTTTTCATCTCAGCAATCTTTCCTGGGAACCATTCCCTCTAGAATCCTGCTAGATGTTTCTAAAGCCATATCATAACACAC